GCCCCAACAGTGCTCACTGGAACCTTCAGAAGTTTAGACATTCTTCTGTAACCGATGCCATCATTATGCTTTGCAACATATTCATAAAAGAAGCCTTTTTATTCACTTCCGTTTCCAATCATTCACCGCTTCCTTGCAATCACATTTGGGACTGGGATTTGGGACTGAACCAACTGATATTAACTTGCACTGACAAGGGGCAGGGTTGCTTTCAAATTACTGAGAGAGTTCAGCTGGTGTCTTGGCTTTCCATGCCTTTTTACACCTCCCTTTCTTCATGTGTTCAATACTTTTTACCTGTGCCATTCCACATTATTACAAATAAGTTCATTTCTAGACATTTATGGTTTGATTTCTTTGTATGTATGGATCACTTGGGTTGTTACCGACATCTGGTGAAAATTTCGTGTCATTAGCACCTCTACTGAGAAAAATGTTGACGTGTTCAATACTTATTTTACCCGCTGTAAATTAAATCAAGATAAATTATAAGTCCAGCATCAAATTTAAGAAACAATCTTTGCCAATAAGACCTCAGTTTTAGTATGTAAATTCATACTTTCCTAAAATGTTCTGATATGTTAATAATACAAAAGAAATGTGTTTTTCTATGTCAAGCTAATCATTTGAATAGTTCTCCAATAAAACTTCCATCCACTGTGTGGCTCTTTATGTATTTAACACAGAATAATGAATGGTCAGAAAACTCTCAAAACTACACTAAACTTGTAAAAATAATAATCAATTTATAAACAGTTTAAAAGGTAACACTGAACACCGTACATCATATAAATGAAAAATTCAGTTAATACAAGTCAAATTGTTTATTTAATTTTAAATCACTGTCAGGTAAAGCCAATCTGGCACGAACAAACATCCAAACAGCTTAATAATGAAACTGCAAACATTTAAAAACATTCAGAAAAGCTGCAGTTTTGCCATTTTAACAAGCTGATTTTCTGACATCATGCTGGGAGTTAAATCGTAGTTTACCCACCATGCCAACTGTCAGTGAAAATGTAACCATTCCTGATTGATTTTTAGGCTGGCCTGAGAAATTAGCATTTAGTCAGAGGATAAAGATTTTATCACAAGAAGCAGTTAATGAATCCACAACTAATTCAGAGTTGTTTGCATAAAAAATAGTTTAAGTCATATTGCTGAAAAAAAAAATCTTTGTAGATGGAGTTCCTGCAGATCAGACAGTAAAATGTCACAAAGGAGCAGTGTTGCACATTATCCAGGTTGCTGATATTTTCCTTTTGTAACTTAATGAAGCACAAATAAAGCTTAATGTTTCAAAATCCCAAATGCATGAAGTTTTCAAACAGAACAACTTAAAACAACTGCCACTGGCAAATGAGTCACATGCCAACATATCATTTTCAAAATAATTTTTAGTGAACGATTTCTCCAACTTATTGAAGTTTCTGCTGAATGTGTTGGGATTTGAACCCTKGTTCTCMTGATTCGGAGGGCACAAACTCTTATGTCCGGACCATTTGTCTAGAATTACATTTGGCATTGCACTAATTTATCACAAACAACACRGTTGCTGACAAAMCTTWTTTTTTTTKCTTTTTGTTTGWACAATAAAATCACAGTGTACAGAAATAAATACGAGATGTCCTTTTAAAGAATGTGTAGATGGTGCGAGTGAGGAAGATCAAGGAAGACTTTTTACACTCGTCAAAGGTGGGGTCAAATTTACTGACCAATAGTTGCTTTTTTCACACTTTCAGTGGTCGAACTCATAACCACTAAGTGGGAATAATTACTATTTTACCATAACCAATTCATCATTCACATTCTATAAGGAAG